GCTATGTCTTTCTTTTGAGAAGTAAAGACGAAGCCTTAGATGCATTCAAAACCTATAAGGCTAAAGTTGAAACACAACTTGAAGAACGAATAAAAAATATTCGTGGTGACAGAGGAGGTAAATATGGAGCACCGTTTGAAGACTTTTGTTCTGAACATGGAATTGTTTATCAAACAACGACACCTTACTCCCCTCAATCAAATGGTGTTGTAGAACGTAAAAATCGAATACTTAAAGAAATGATGAATGCCATGTTAATAAGTTCGACTTAACCACAAAACATGTGGAGGGAGGCTATTTTAATGGCAAATAGTCTTCTTAATAAAATACCTCTTAAGAAAATAGAAGAGACACCATATGAACTATGGAAAAGCCATCCTTCATCCTACCAATACTTGAAAGTGTGGGGGTGTTTGGCTAAGGTTGAGGTACCTAAACCTAAATAAGTGAAAATCGGTCCTAAAACAATAGATTGCATATTTATTGGATACGCTAATAATAGTAGTGCATATCGATTTCTTGTATACAAATCTGAAATGCAAGACGTATACAAATGGACCATAATTGAATCAAGGAATGCGACACTTTTTGAAAATATTTTTCCTTGCTAAGATAAGAAAAATACGAGTTCTAACAAGAGAAAATATGAAACTACCAGTGGAACTTCAAATGAAGAAGAACCAATGCGTAGTAAAAGGGCTAGGACTTCCAAGACGTTTGACCCAAATTTTCTAACCTATATGGTAGAGGATGATCCAAAGACTTTCAATGAAACAATGTCTACACTGGAAGAATCGCACAGGAAAGAAGCTATTAATAATGAGATAGATTCTATAATGCAAAACCATACATGGGAGTTGATTGATTTACCTCCCGGTAACAAATCTTTAGAATGCAAATGGATATTCAAAAAGAAATTAAAACCTAACGGATCCATTGATAAACATAAGGCTAGATTGGTTGCTAAAGGATATAGGAAAAAAGAAGGACTTGACTTCTTTGATACCTACTCACCCGTGACTAGAATCACGTCGATAAGGTTGTTAATTGCAATTGCGGCAATACACAATCTTGAGATTCATCAAATGGATGTAAAAATAGCATTCCTAAATTGTGAGTTAGAAGAGGAGATTTACATGGAGCAACCTGAAGGGTTCGTTTCTCCTAACCAAAAACACAGTGTGTAAACTTGTCAAGTCCTTGTATGGATTAAAACATGCTCCTAAATAATGGCACCAAAAGTTTGACAAAACAATGTTGTCAAATGGATTCAAAATCAACGAATGTGACAAATGTGTATATATTAAACATACAGCAAATGCTTATGTAATTGTGTGTCTATATGTGGACGACATGTTAATAATGAGCAATAGTCATGAAATGTTGTTTAATACCAAAAAGATGCTAACAAAGCATTTCGATATGAAAGATATGGGTGTGGCAGATGTAATCCTAGGGATTAAAATCTCTAGAATGTAGGATGAAATTGTACTTTCACAATCTCACTACATAGAAAAAGTACTTAAAAAGTTTGACGTGTTTGAGGAAAGTCCTGCGATAACTCCTCTTGATTCAAGTATGCACTTAGTCAATAATACGGGAAAAGGCATATCACAACTAAGGTATTCACAAATAATTGGCAGTCTTATGTATATTACAAACTGCACTCGACCGGATATTACTTTTGCGGTGAATAAACTTAGTAGATTTACAAGTAATCCAAACCGTGATCATTGGAAGGCTTTGACGAGCGTTCTAAGGTACTTAAAGTATACCTTAACCTATGGATTACACTTCACAAAATATCCTGAGATACTAGAAGGATATTGTGATGCGAATTGGATATCCGATATGAAGGATTCCAAATCCACTAGTGGTTATGTTTTCACCAAGCTATTGTATCATGGAAATCAACAAAGCAAACGTGCATAGCTCGATCAACTATGGAATTTGAGTTTATTGCTTTGGACAAAGCTAGAGAAGAAACAAAATGGCTTCGAAATTTCTTAGAAGATGTTCCATGTTGGCCCAAGCCAGTACCTGCGATAAGTATACATTATGATCGTCAATCAGCAATTGAAGGGCTCGAAGTAGCATATATAATGGTAAGTCTAGATATATTCATCGTAGACATAACACCATTAAGCAACTGATCTCAAATGGCATTATCTCCATAGATTATGTAAAATCAAAGGAGAATATTGCGGATCCACTTACGAAAAGTTTGCCTAGAGATCAAGTGCTTTGCCTATCGAGAGGAATGAAATTAAAGCCTACTACGTAAGAGTTTTTGCAATGGTAACCCTACCTTATTGACTGAAAATCCCAAGATCTTGGTTCAAAGGGACAACTAAGTTGTGAAAATTCCATGAAGTACTTAGAAAATTAGAATTCCTAACTCATTCCTATAATACTAAAGTGCTTTTTGCAGAGTGGATAGAGGCTAAGATTATCTTTTAACGATTCCTATATCTTGATTAAGTTAAGTGGAGTAGGACAGAATACTCTTAATAGGAAGTCACCTATATAAGTGTGAAGTGGGGCTGCTTCGATAAGAATTGTTTAATATTTGAATTCTCTAAACACTTATGAAGCCAAGAAGGGTTCAAGCCAAAATGAACCAAGCCATGAGAACTAAGTACAGAATATGGAAGATATTTGTGTGAGTACTCTTATCTTGACTTACACCAAAGGCCGAGTGGTTCAAGACCTATGGTTCACCAATTAGCCGAGTAAGTCTGATAGTATTTCACTAAGGGAGGTTCAATGCTAGAAGTCACCATCCCTGATGCAGTATTTTTTCGTACCCTCTCTACATTGCATCATATCACTGCATTTGCATATGCGTACCCGAATTTTCATTCATGTGGGGGATTGTAGGAATTGGTTTTCAAATAATTAACCAAAATTTGGAAAATGAAAAGGTGTGTACAGGTGGAAAAAGAAAATGTGTGACTACGTGTCAACTTCGACCAAATATTCGGACTTGATCTGATGGTCAAATTACAAAAGTAAATAGAACAACTTATTCTACTCATCGAGTAGATCGTCATGGTATATTTGGAATCTCAAAATCAATTCCAGATGAATGAAAAATTGCGGACCAAAATTGGAAAAAATGAAGTGTTGCAACTTTTCGAAAGGATGCAGATTTTGGCCAAGTGTTACAACTTTTTGAAAGGATGCATGTTTTGGCCTATACTACTTCATTTGCACCCTTTCTACATCTATAAATAAAACCCTATGGACATGATTTTGGGTACACCAATTGCATTGAGCATTCATTCTCCTCTTACAATTCTCTCATTTCTAATTCCATAATATTTTCATGCATTTCCTTTGTAGAGGGGAAATTCTGTCAAAAGTTCGTCGATTTCTTGTGGTTTGAAGTGCTGTTACCACAAGTTGTGAATCCATTGTATCTTGGAAGATAAGTGTCATTCACCGTGAGCACCATAGTGGGGCAATTTGTCTTAAGGAAAGAGATAACGTCTCACCTTAGATTATTCTTTATTTCTACTCCTTCTTAATCATTGTTTTGTGTAATCGTTATACTGAAACTCTGTCCAAATTTTCATTCATATAAATTGTATTTTGATCACGCTCTTGTGGGTTAAAATTGGTCAAACAAATATATCAAAAACCAATGCTTACATAACCCTTTTTATAAGTCGTCTCCAACAAAATCCTCAATAACCAGTGAAGAAAATGCACCCATTAGATTTACTAATCATGAAACCCAATGAAAAATTTTCTATATCAAGCAAAGATCATCCTCTTGATCTCACTTGAACTTACCATATGTGAAACTTTCCACATAACTACCGGTCTAAACCTAAAGAGTTCAACCTCACCACTAAACACCTTCTACCGATTCCGTGCAACCTAGGCCATCAAGGATCCTCTATGGTTCTGTGCTATATAAGATGAGCAAATGTTCTCTTCCTATTGGGACCTTGTGCCTACTTATTCCTCTTAAAAGAAGTGGATGTAACAGTGGTTTGAATCGAACAACACAACAATGGTAGCATTTGCCTATACAAAGCTCGCCTGGGCATTAATGGATTCATCTACGACTTGGTATAGATTAGCACGAAACCTTTACTTCCTTTGCTGTTGCATGTCCTCGTAGCTTCTCAAATGCTAACTGTGCTGGTAACCACAATAAATTGTACATCCGCCACACCGTTTTTCTAGGTGCTCGATCCCACAAACAAAAATCTGTGGCACAAACTAACCTTTTCTGCTATTGCCTATTGGAAGTTTCACGGGTTCTCTTTGTTTCATGAACTTGGTTTTTTGCATCTAGATCTCTACTGAAGGTGTCCTTCGACACTCACCTATCAGGACTTGTTCTTAATTCTCAAATGAAACACAGTGCTCTCCATATATATTACAGTTGATATCTAGTAACAAAAAATGGTTCTTAAATTTTCACATATTCCACTAAAGATCACCTGGTTGATGTGCTAAACAATTTATTACCTCATCAACAATCTACCTTTATCTCCAATGGCAGTACCATGTTATGCAAACATGAATAGTCACATAAAAATTACAATCTCGAGCCAGCCAAATTATGTCAAAGTGCAAGGGCAAGCAATAGAAAGGATAGTCCTTCGCTCATTTGCACGAACTACAACTACTAAAAAATGGTGATATCATTCGTGAAAGAAGGACCAACGACGGTTCTATCCTCAAGGAGGAGGAGTAGGAGTATCCAAACATCTTAGATATAGATAAAAAGGTAGGAACATTTAATTCTTTTCTACTTATTTGTAAGAGTAATATATTTCTATTAATATATTCACAAGTCTTTTTGAATCCATTGTGATTTATATGATAATGACTTGTTAAAAATAAGTAAACTCTAGGCATTAGAAAATTAGCAGAGTTTTATTACTGTTAGTGCACTACTCTGATAACTACCCCGCTGAATAGTTGGACCTCTGCTGAAAGTTTCCCAACGAAATAAACTTAAAATGTAAGTTTGATAACTTTTAAGGTTAGCCAAACATGTCCTAATCTAACCCTCGCATTAACACAATTCAAGCACGATGCACCACTGCTGATTGTGTTCTTACATCATCATAGTCTGTCTTCATCCCATCCATAGTCTTGTGCTTCTCAAGAAACTAAAAATAATCTTACACTCACTCACCAAAAATTTGCTTTTCAAGAAACAAATTTTTTTTTCACCCACCTACCGAAAAATTGGCGATTTGAGTTCAAGTACAATCAAAAACCATCTTGTTCGATTGAATTTAATTTAGGGGGAAAGCGAAAGGGTAAAAAGAATGAGTTTCAGAGAGGAGGGAGATGATGGGAGAGGGGATCTGAGGAAGCCATTTTTGCATACTGGAAGTTGGTACCGAATGGGTTCGAGGCAGTCCAGCATGATGGGTTCTGCTCAAACCATAAGGGACCGCTCTATCTCAGTCTTGGCTTGTGTCTTGATAGTTGCCCTCGGTCCAATCCAGTTTGGTTTCACTGTACTGAATTATCTCCCTATTTTCCTGATTTCATTATTGTTCTTTACATCTTACTATTATAGTTATGTTTTTGGTTCCCGAATTTGTTCTATTTGATCCAGTATAAAAAGAGTAAGTGTGCAATTCTTGAACTTAATTTTTGGTGTAGCTTTCAGATTACCCTTTTTATTTGTTACAGTCGGGGGAGGATAATGAGAGCTTAAGCTATATTTAGCATGGATGCCTATTAACAAAACAGTAGGATTGGTTCCACTTAAACTTGCATTGACTTTCGATTAATTCCGGATTGGCAGCCAAACTCAGTCAACTGTAATTTTATTTCAACTTGAAGAACAATTAGAATTCGTTTTCCTTTTGTAGAAAGATTGTTTGTAGAATTCAACTTAGAGATTAGATTATGTTCGGGGTGAGATGACTTCTATGATTCCTGACATTCAATTTTAGATAGTGCTAAACTTTAAACAGTCTCGTGTTTGAAACAGTTTTCTCAGGCTGTTTTGGACATCATGAAATTTGAGTCTCAGGATCGGAATTTGTTAATAGAAATTTTGACTGGAACTATTTCATATAGGTTCCTCCAATTTCAAGACACTGAAACTGATGTTATTATGTAGTAGAAAGAAACAAGATTTATGCATATTCGGAGTGAGAATTTAAAGGGAAAAAACAAAGCCAAAGTAAGAATTGAAATTTGAAGAAAAGCCTAAAAGTTAACCAAAATAAGTTGAAAGTTTCATTAAGGTGTAAAAATAGGCTGACTATAATATCGAAAACACGAATGTTTATAAATAAAATCACTATATATACAAATTAAGCAATTAATTAGTAGAAAATAATATAGATCTAATATCTAGGAACCAAGACAATATATGATCTCTAGAAAGTGAGAGTAATTAAAATTCCTAAAACTATCAGAGGTATTCCTAAAATTCATCAGCAGCATCTTTACTCGGTTTTTTGTATGAAAGAACTTGGTCATCTCACTTATTTGCTTGGCTTGGAGGTTCATACAACGTCTCCTGGTATCTTCTTTAATCAGCATAAGTATATTCAAGACTTGACTATGTTGGCTGATTTATGTGGCGCCTCCTCAGTTGATAATTCGTTAGAGCTTAATGTTAAATATCGAAAGGACGAAGGAGATATTCTTCCAGACCCTACCCTATATCGAGAGTTGGTGGGTAACCTCATCTATTTCACTATCACACGTCCAGATATTTCCCTTGTTGATCATACTGTCAGCCAATTTATGAATGTCCCTCGACATCTTCATTTGGTGGCTATCCGTCGTATTATTCGCCACCTTATTGGGATTCCTCATCGTGGTATGTTCTTTCCCAAGGGGGCTTATCTTTCTCTTGCTACTTATAGTGATGCTGACTGGGTTGATTGCCTTGATTCTCGTAGTTTTACTACTGGATGGTGTATTTTTCTAGGTGAGACCCTCATTTCTTGGAAATGTAAAAAACAAAATTGTGTCTCTAAGTGCTTCACTAAGGATGAATACCGTACTATGTCAGTGTCATGTTCTGAGATATTGTGGCGACGAGGTCTTCTCGTAGAACTTGGTGTTTCCCAAACTCAACCTACATCTTTCCATGGTGATAACATTAGTACTATTCAGTTTGTTGCTAATCTGTGTATCACGAACATACCAAACATATTGAAGTGGATTGTTATTATATTCGAGACGCCTATGATTCCAAAGTCATCACTCTTCCTTATGTTTCTGCTACTCAACAGGTCACAGATATCTTCATAAAATCCTTAACTCACCTTCGTCACAATTTTCTTGTGTGCAAATTGATGGTAGTGGACTCACCAACATCAATTTGGGGGGTATTAGAAGTATTTATGGTAAATTTGCAGCTAATTATTACCTTAGAACATCTCCAAAAGATTTTCTATTTATAAAGAACATCTTATGCATAATAGAGAGCATCTTTAAATTTAGAGAGTAATTTTTTTTATATACTCTAACAAGTTCTCTATTTTGATTCTTTATTTTGTTTTTTCTAATGAACATTTAATGATTTCTCCGCATATTTTATTTAAATATAATTTTTTTTATATATATTAATGACCAATCAACTCAAATGTAGTTTGAAAAATTTAAATTGTAGAGTATTGAAATTTGTAATGTATTAAATACAATCATTGTACATTAAGAATAGAGAGTGAATTTAGCTCTCTAAATTTGGAGAATCAGATGCACTCTCTACTTTAAAAAGTTAAAAGCAAGAGTCCCTTAAAACTCATTTTTAAGCATTGCCTCTCTAAAATAGAGTATTTGTATTTAAAGAGTCTCTTGGAGATACTCTTATATAGCTAGTTTACATATATAGTGATGCGGACATCACTCATCATATTATCGCACTATTTTACTTTTTCTAGTTATTGGGCTTGTATTATTGGTTTGGTCCAAGCCTATCACTGGTAGGGTTATGCTTATACTATTTATATGGTTTTCAATTGTAATTTCAGTTGATGAATTGATGAATGAAATAATGTTTGGTTAAGTTTTCTCCTCTTCTTTCCCCAGCCTTCTTCCTCCCACCCTCTCTGTATTTCCTCCCCGTTTCTTCTTCTTCTCCCCTGGTTTCTCAACTTGTTCCTGGCTACTTCTTCTTATTGAAATCCCTCAATCTATCCTACATCAAAGTGGTATCAGAGCTAAACCTGGTTCCACCATCTTCAAATGAAAATTGGAGTCACAAAATTGCTATGGAAGTGATTCAGTTAAAATTCCTGTCTTCAGCTTGATGTTCAACACCATAAATCCCTACCCAGAAGGTGCCCCATCCATCCTCTGCAAACCGCACACAAACATCTAACCCAATACACTGTAACACACCGCCCAGTCATCTATTATACCACAATGCTGCCGACAAATCCAACAAAACTCAATGATCCCTGTACTAAGCCCATATCACCCGAATTACATCCAAACAAAACACCAAGGTAACCGTTTCTTCCCATACAGTTAACCCACATATTCCATCCACCACCAATTGCCTCTCCACACGAACCTGCAACTACCCACATATTCATCCAACCTCCACCGATAGCTGTCAATAACTAAAACCACAGCCGCCGACACCATTTTGTCGGCACCATGCAGTAATCATCGAGAAGACTGCCGAAAACAATAATACCGTAACCGCCTCCTCCAAACCCGACCCAATAACCTAAATCTCATCTTCTCTACGAAACCGACACCCCACGTAGCCACGCTCTCCGCTTCCACTATTGAAATCAAAGGCCACATAAACTAAGTTGGCAACCATCAATCCATTTTAGCGTCTCCTTCTCGGTTTCTTCTTCTTTTGCTTCCGTTCGCCGCCTCAAACCCAGCCCAATCACCCAAGTTTCATCTCCTCTATAAAGCATCAGCAACCCACCCAAACCGCCGGAACTTACAGCAACCAGAAACGGAACCCTATCCGAGTTAGACCGCTCGCGACGGCCCGAAGCATCCAGCCTGCAACCGCCGCCTCCACTTGCGGAACCCATGATCGCATACCTTGAATAGGGCTGGACGGATTTGGCCAGAAATTACTGAGGGTCTTCGGATTCCAATTTGGGCTTTTCAATTAGGCGGTGCCTTAGTATTCTGGCATTTGTATTGTGAGACGGTATTTGATTTTCAGTTTTGGGCTCAGCCTTAGTTACTACTTTGGGCCTAGTAAAAGTGTAGTTAAAAAAAAAAAAGTATTTTCTAACATTGTTTTGCAGATACCTCTTCCTGTTCTGTTGATCAATCCAGTCGTTTCGATGAACAAAAAGGGGAGTTACTATTCTATTTATCTTTGGTACATTACTGTTTATCTTAGAAATTAGATCAATTAAATTTTTGTGCTGCTGCTGGTCTAGTTGTTTATCTAAACTCACGTAATTGGACCCATTCACTTCGTTACCCATTCACTTCGTTAAGTTCTACTTTTACCTCACTTATTTTACGTGATTAGAGTTTGACTAGTATTTGACCCTTGCTTTGCTATTTTACTTATACCAACAGTATTAGCTTGTTTTGGATTTTAATCCCAAAATTTAAATTTAAAAAAAATAAATAAATAAAAAAGAAATAGCTCAAATTTTCATTTTCCATTACTTGTACTTTTTGTTCGTTGATCTCTCTATTGCATGTCATTAAGTTGCTATTACAGTGCATGTAGTTACTTATTGGTCATCTTGTCACTTCTAGCTCCAGTACCTTAAACATGGACCCCTCACAATTCGATGCACTCACCCGACAAATAGCGGCTATTCAAACTCAAATGACCGCTACTCTTGAAGAGAGTAAGGCGCTATCTGTTAGTTTGAAAAATTTTAAACACATCTCTCATTCAACTGATGTTGATAATTCTAAGGTGTCTCATAATAGACAACATCGTTGACAAGTTAATCAAAAATACTTTCGACCCGATCGTAAGGATAGGAATAGGAATAGGGATCAGATGCGTGAGCGAGAACGAGATAATTTTGAAATTTTTATTCAATGGAATGCTCTTAAACAAGGAAATCAATTAGTGACTGAGTATATCGTGCAATTTGAGGAATTTCGAACCAAATGTCATTTAATTGAGGATGAAAACACGACTTTGAGTAGGTTTAGCCAAGGTCTGAAAGATGATCTTAAGCGCGAGCTTTTCCTTCGAGGTGTCACTACTCTTGATCACGCTTACTCTTTAGCTCGAGATTATGAGTTGATTATTAGTACTCCATATAAAAAGCGTGGTCATCGTCGTTCACCCATCTCATTAGCGTCGCCTCATAATAAGTCTATCATAAAACTTTCTCCGTTTAATGTTCTTCCTATTTGGAAAAATAATTGTAAAGGTCGAGATGGTCCAAGATCTTCTTTTCCATGTAGAAAGCATATTAACAATCATCCTTCGGTGTCATTGGCTCCACTTCTTCCCGTTAAATCCCTTCTAGGACCTCCCCTGTCTGATATTCCTCCAATTTTGAAAAATAAGGGTAAATTTTTTGATAATTATCATTTGACTTCATTGGCTCTACCTCCTCCCGTTAAGTCCCTTCTAGGACCTCCCCCTTCTAATGATTCTCCAATCTTGGAAAATCAGGGTAGAATTTTTGAAACTCCAAGGTCTTCTTCTCACTTGTTGTGCGTCAACTATAAAGACTTTGGTCACATTTCTTCTAAATGTCCTAATCGAACCTTAGTCATGGAAGAACGAAAGAATGTAATAGAGGAGCCTTTAGAAGATCTAGTCTATGAACTTAAAGTTGAAGATTTTGATGATTTGGATGATAGTGAGGACACTTCCTTAGGTGGAATCCAGACTTTTCCCGAGACTTTGGATACTATACCCCTTATCTCCGACAATTTTCAGTCACATGTTATATGTCATACCCTTACCCAAGTTAAAGAGCTTTATGATGTCACCAGTCACCTTTGGAAAATCCAGTCGTCTGTGGTTAACACTAAGGCAAAATTATCCACCACTGACCAACCTCAAATTGATGGTCAAAACAAAAGTGGTAGTCAAAATCCTGACAATTTATTACAGTCTCTAGTTCAGAAAAATCTTGGGAATTGGGACTTGATCCCTCCAACTGTTCAAATTGCATATAATGATCCTGTAATTGGTTTTTAGATCTAAAACCCTTTGAAGTTATTCTTGGTTGTGAACCTTTCAAACCTCTAGACCTTATTCCCATGCACCCACATGCTTGTGTGTCTATGTCAGTTGAGATAGTTGTATCATATTTTCATAGCTTGCATATTGAGATCAATAAACAATTTGAAGCAAGTAAAGCATTATATAAACCTCACGTTGATTGGCATAAACAACACTTTGAATTTAATATTGGGGATTATGTTATATTGCAAGCGTGTAATGCTGGTCTTTTTAAAATTTCCAAGCATGTTGGTCAAAATGCTTATGTCAATGATCTTTTATCACATTATGACCATCACCCTATTTTATTTGTTAAGGACTTCGATACTTACAATGGCTTTTTTAACACTTTTGTTGATCCTTTTCTATCTCTACCTGAGAACTCCCACACCGAATCTTTTGCTATGTCTATTCGAATACCACCTATCGTAGCACATAAAGATAAAATTGATGTAATTTTAGATGAACAAGTTGTGTTAACCATTGATGGAGAGAATCAGTGCTTCTTTAATTGTTTGGTAGATCAATGTTCTTATTGTGCTCCACATTATGTGCAATCATGTGAAGATTTTGGAGATGAGTTGCAGGAGTACTTGTTATTTGGAGTCCAATGCCGGTACGTGATTAAAATGAGGGATCGTCTGCTTTGGTCGGATCATATTCTTGAGGACAAGTTCTTATCAAAAAAATATATTTGAGGACAAGTTGCCATTTGCATTGTTATCAACCGTGGAGTTCAGATATTTGGTTCTTCAAAAAGATTGTCCATCGTGGTATGAGTTCAGACATTGAAGATTGACAGTAGCTCTTTGTCATTTGTTCACTCGACAGAGTCGAGTTTTTCTTCCACCCCGGGAGAATTGATGCGGATATCATTTATATTATTATCGAACTATTTTACTTTTTCTAGTTATTGGGCTTATATTATTGGTTTGGCCCAAACCCATCACTAGTAGGGTTATGCTTATACTATTTATATGATTTTCAGTTGTAATTTCAGTTGATGAATTGATGAATGAAAAAATGTTTGGTCAAGTTTTCTCCTCTTCTTCCCGGCCTTCTTCCTCTCACCCACTCTCTGTTTCTCCTCCCCGTTTCTTCTTCTTCTCCCCTGGTTTCTTAACTTCTTCCTGGCTACTTCTTTTTATTAAAATTCTTCAATCTATCCTACATCATATAGGCTTGTTTCCTTTTGTAGCTTTGTAATGACTATAAATCAAAGGAAATACGCAAGAGAAATTCATTCTGTAAAATGTCAATTTTTACATTAAATTGGTTGCCTGATCAATTCCTCGCACTCTTTTTCACTTCTTCAGTTTATTGAATTTGGTGTACTAGATAATATAACCAATTCACTTGCAATGAATCTGGGTTTGTGAACTCGTATTTGGGACTTCCACTTGTAGCACAGTACAAGAAGTTAAGTTTCCCTTGGAAGTCATCGTGTATTAGCTCCTGACGTCCCACAAAATACTCCCAAATTAAGTACATGGAGCTTTCCTACACCGTTAAGCCTTGATTCAATTTCACTTTTCAACTACTTTCAAGAATTTCATGAAAGCTATTGTCAACAGGAAGAAAATGTTAATACACTCTGTTAGAACAAGTGGCTATCTACATAATTGACACAATCACCTGAAAAGCTCCTATCAGATAGTGGCAACATAATTTGGCTTTGAAATTCTTGGAAAAAGAGTTGGGAGGCTCAGGATAAATATCATAGATTATTTGTGAATTTCTATAGACTTGTTTTACTCACAAGTTAGTGTCATTTTTTCAGACTGTTCAGAAAATATTCTTTCTTCAATTGACCGTTTGGAAAGTTTGAAGTTCCAAAGTCACCTTCTTGATCTCATTGTGAACTTCAGTTACTTCTTGATTATTGAGTTCATGAATGTGTAGAAAACAGCTTAAGTTCTCTTTCGTTTTAATCTAACTTCTTCCTAATGAGATCCGAATAAAAATAAAATAGAAGGCAGTTTCATTATGGTGGTATACCAGCCACCTGTTCTGGAACTTCCTGTTCCTCTTAGCAAGACACCATCTTTAACACATATAATGAAATAGAAATAGAAATAGATAAAGGAATAAATTGGGTCTGCTACTTCAAGTGACTCATTATAATAGATTGACATATTTCCTACTTTTTGAGTACCAAAGATTCAACTTACAAGGAATCATTCGAAATCTTTTCTTTGATACCAATTGATGTTGGCAGAAGCGCAAGAAGGGTAATAGAAAAATTGAGCCATATAGCAAGTTGGATTTCATTCCCAAAAACCTAGAACTGGGATTGATTTTGCCAAAAACCTGAATGCTCTCATTGCGAATACTGGAAAATTTTATAAATTTATATGTAATGATAGGCTGAATGAAATGTTGACACCACAAATTTTTCGAAGACCTAAAGTCCTAAACTTGCTAACTAAGCAACTACCTCAAAAGGAAACATGATATTATGGATTTAAAATATCCGATAAACAAATAACGTAAGACCTATAGAAATAATCCAAAAAGGGAATAACTTAGTGTACCTGAAATTCGTTTCTTTAACAATTTCTTCTCTCATTTGTTTGGATTCATCATGCATCTCTTTTACTCTTATAAATCAGTGTGTTTGGAAGTTATTATGAGTTTGATTAATGTTTAGTTTCTTGTTCTTGTGAAGTGTGGATACTCTTCACCAACACAATCTGCTATCACCAAAGATCTCAAGCTCACAGTGTCCCAGGTTTGTGTGAAAATGAATATATGTTCCTGTGAATATTATCAGAATTTGTTTATTATATTTACTGACTCAAAGGTTGGGCCAGTTCTCTTTGTTTGGTTCCTTAGCAAATGTGGGCGCTATGGTTGGGGCAATAGCTAGTGGTCAGATTGCTGAGTACATTGGACGAAAGGGGGTATGACTGTTTCCTTAATATTAGTTATTTAGTTATATATTTGCTCTTTATCCATCCGTATGTTTCACATTAGAATATTTTGATCTAATTTGATAACTTGCAGGCTCTAATGATCGCTGCCATTCCCAACATCATTGGTTGGCTTGCCATATCATTTGCCAGAGTGAGCATCTCAATTGATGTTTTCATTTTTTTCTTTTGTTGTTGTTGCTGTCATTATCTGCTTTGAGAACTTGAATTAATATCTAATTCCTTTTGTTTTAAATTAGGATATTTCGTTTCTTTACATGGGAAGATTGCTGGAAGGGTTTGGTGTGGGAATAATCTCGTATACGGTAAATATGAACCAGTGTTTTTATCCCCTGTATTAAAAGAATCCTGATTGACTTTTTAACTCTTTTCCTTTGCTTATATAATTATAGGTGCCTGTATATATAGCCGAGATAGCACCTCAAAATTTGAGAGGGGGGTTGGGTTCGGTAAACCAGGTTGGCCGATTCTGCTATATTTCTTTCAGTAAGACCTGTTTCCCTAAAATATGCTACTAATTTCTGCTACATTCTATGATGTAGCTCTCTGTGACTATTGGGATTATGCTTTCTTATCTACTGGGATTATTTGTTGGTTGGAGAGTGCTTGCTGTTCTTGGTAAGAATTTTAGATAGCCCAAAGCTCTTCACAGATGATTTTGATGATACATTTTTCTATAATACTTTCAACAACCCCTGAATATTGTCCTGTTGGTGGTTTGATTCATTTTTTATTTAGGATTAGGGGACCTGAAATGAAAAAATTTCTTAAATTCCTCCAGTTAGTTGTTTGTTCTCCCTGTGTTGAATAAATTTATGATCATTACATGTTAAGTCATTTTAAGTTCTGATGCATATATCCTATTTGGTATTAACTTCTCCCAACTCCTAATGGAAGAAAAGGAAAAGAAGAAAGAAATTGATAGCACTAAGGCTTCCAAAATGTGACCAATAATTTTCATTTTCAGGAGTATTGCCTTGTCTTATATTGATACCTGGTCTGTTCTTCATCCCGGAATCTCCTCGGTGGTTGGTGAGGTTTATGAAGAAGTTTATCAAACTTGATTCCTCGTTTTAGCAGAGACACAAGTACTAATGCAGATGGCTTTGTGAAAAATTAGGCCAAAATGGGAATGACAGATGATTTTGAAGCTTCTCTACAAGTTCTTCGGGGTTTTGATACCGATATCACCCTTGAAGTAAATGAAATCAAGGTAAGTTCCCTTGGATTTTGTTCTTTAACAGATGTGCATTATATTAAACCATGTAAAACAGCAGCACAACATCAACCGTTTTCTTGATGTAGCTTTGCTGTTTACTCATATGAATTTATTGTTTGGTGTCCAGATGACATAACTAACTACTTGAATAATGTCAAGGCAGATTTCAAATGACAATTTTTGGTTTGCAGAGAGCTGTAGCATCAACAAGTAGAAGAATGGCAATCCGTTTCGCAGATCTTAAACTCAAAAGATACTGGTTACCACTGATGGTATGCACGTTTTCATAAGAAATCTCATTTTCCTGTTTGAAAATGATTTTCAACTAGTTTCATTTTCTTTTCCTCTTTTATCCTGCAGATAGGAATTGGGCTACTTGTCTTTCAACAACTAAGTGGAATTAATGGTGTTATCTTCTATTCCACGACTATTTTTGAATCAGCTGGTATGTTGTGATAACCTTCTATTTCTGAAACGAGCAATAGATCTGTGTATTTTCTTCGTTGAATTCATAGAGATATGCATATTTGTACCACACTTTAAATTTCTTGAATTCATGATTCGTGCTTGTTGACGTGCTATGAAATCTACACCAATGACAAGTTATGGAAGCATCACCAACAAAAGATGCAAGCTCTATTGTGCATTATCTAGAATGAAGTTGCCTTTCGCTTTGTTTATGCTCCTTTCACAACGTACATCTCCTATTGATTGTTACTCCCTATCTCTATGGTTGGATGAGCTCGTTTCCTTTTTGGGATGTCTGTAATAGTGTCCACTTTCTTAAAATCAACATGTACTTCGAAAAAATTCCCTTAGTGGAATTACATGATGTTACGAATAACAATTATCTCCCACAAGTTTTGAAGGAAAAAGAACCACGTTACCGAAATTCTAACTCATGAACTCTAAGCAAGCCCATTCAATTCCGAAGGAAGGAGTATTATTTTATAATTTAAGTTAAAGGCCTCTTATTTAGTTGTATTGATGGACAGGGATCTCATCGGGTAATGCTGCTACTGTTGGTGTTGGTGCTATTCAGGTATATCTAAGAGTTTCATGAGCAAATTTTTTTTTGAACTCTTAGTTTTTGTTTACTATGAAGATTTTGTACATTGTTCAGGTTATTGCCACTGCAATTTCTACGTGGTTGGTAGACAAAACTGGGCGTAGGGTTCTGCTAATTGTGAGTTAAAGCTTTGTTTTTATTTTTTCGGTCTATGAATCATCAGTTTGCCTTACGCAAATGAAAATGCCCATTTCAGGTTTCCTCTTCTGGGATGGCTCTTAGTCTCCTACTTGTTGCTGTTTCATTCTTTTCGAAGGTAATTTTGCTATAAAATTTCTTTTCATTCAAAGAAGAGGGAATAGGTAATCGATGTGATCATGAACATTTTTGTATGGTTTCATGTTTACATTCTGATACATACTGTATATTTTGTTATTTTTCTATTTGAAATTGTTCAAGGGCTTCGTATCAGAGGATTCTACTGCCTATGGTATATTCGGAATCCTATCTGTAGTTGGGGTTGTGGTATGTTTTCTTACAAATATACAAGGAGCATAAATTAATCAGTTTCCACTGAACAATTTCTTACTTTTTTTCACCCAACATTTTCTGTTACAGTGCATGGTCATTGCCTTTTCTCTAGGAATCGGACCCATTCCATGGCTTATCATGTCCGAGGTACTATGGTTTTCCCCCTTGTTTTCAATCAGCAGAATGTTTGGTGTACACTGCTATTTTTCTGTGTAATACTCGTGCACCTAGTACTTGCATATGATTTTGTTTGCTCTTCTGAAACGGGCCTGAATTATGGCCAAACCTAAGTTCTTTAGAGTTGGTTCTTTTCATGTTTTTATGTCTTTTGACTAAATAATCTTTATTTTCAAAAACTTTTAAATATAATTTCATTGGCTATAGTGACCATATTTCCTCTGATATTGCAGATTCTTCCTATTAAAATCAAAGGCCTCGCTGGAAGTGTGGCAACTTTGGCCAACTGGTTATTGTCGTGGGTTATTACGATGACTGCCCCTTTGCTATTAGATTGGAGCAGTGGAGGTTTGCTCACCCACATCTTTTTTGTTTATGTCTAGGTGCTTTCTATGAGAATATGGGGAATCTTGTCTATTTTTACAAATGCATTGGCTCATATGATTAGCATAGTCGATGTGCACTAGGCTATTATGGCAACTCCCTTAAACTAAGTTTTAGAAATTAGAATCTAAATTACAATCAATCTTGTAAAGACAACGATTAAGTCAGTACAAATTACAATCAAATCTTTGAACTTAACTATTCCAACGCTCTCTCTCGACTAGTGCAAACATGTTTCATCCCAAGCTGCCAACACAGACACAGCCTGAGTCTAGTTTCTATTTGATGAAAATGTCTAGCAATCATAATACCATTCTAGGATGGAAATAAGTGCGTATTTTAACTCATAAGCATGCACCGTTGTGTGGTTATATCATATCCAATGAAAAAGGTTCCAGTATGTGTGAGATTCCCTGTGGACCGGGTTCAATCATCAATGTGAAACAGCTTAAAAGAAATGGATGGATGCTTACTATTCAAGCGTTCTTGCAAATTTTACAGGCACATTCACTTTTTACATGCTGATGTGCGCTTTCACCGTGATATTTGTGGCAATATGGGTGCCTGAGACGAAAGGAAAAACGTTGGAAGAAATCCAGTTCTCGTTCAGATGAAACGTTTTAGTGTAATTTGCTCTCTATTTCCTGTCCATTTCTCCTCCTCCTTGCTGGGACGATGGTCCAGTTTTGTATTATTTTCATCCAGAAAAGTGTAACTTTTTCTCCTTTTTGTTTGAGCGGTGAATCCGGAATTTAGAACTCACAGATCTAGTCCCTTGGCTTATTATTCCCTAAAGGCTTGCATGCTACTGGATTTTGTAATTCTCACATATTGATAAATGTTTAAAGAGTATTTTAATAATTTTAAATGTGGCTCAAATAAGGCCTTATTTTCTGAATATTTTCTTAGTTTGCTAATCCATTCCTTTCTGGATTGATTTGAGTATTTTCTAAGTTTGAAAATGTAACGGATTTTTTTTTTTTTGAACGGTGCGTATTTAATTTGGATGTTCCCTTCTTGTCAAAGCAATTTCAACATTTTACGCATATTTATTTGTCTTCCTGCTGTCTTTTACCAGTACATGAACTGACTTTTACCACAAATCCTTCTATTTTTTCGAGATATTTTTTGTATTTTGCATGAAACTAAATTATAATTTTCTTACGGACAAGAAATTTATGTGTTAACGAGCTATCAAAATAATGATGTTACCAAAATGGGAGGGAAGGAGAAGACAGGATGGAGAACCCACATCGAATTAGAACTACAACTGCCCTATAACTGAGATTAATGACGATAACATAGCAAGACATGACAGACTATGGAATTCATTATTCAACTGCCCTATAACTGAGATTAATGACGATAACATAGCAAGACATGACAGACTATGGAATTCATTATTCAACTGCCCTATAACTGAGATTAATGACGATAACATAGCAAGACATGACAGACTATGGAATTCATTATTCAACTGCCCTATAACTGAGATTAATGACGATAACATAGCAAGACATGACAGACTATGGAATTCATTATTCAACTGCCCTATAACTGAGATTAATGACGATAACATAGCAAGACATGACAGACTATGGAATTCATTATTCAACTGCCCTATAACTGAGATTAATGACCATAAAGTACTGCATAAACTAAGAACAATAGGAGACTTGATTACATATATTCTATCCCAAATGATAATCAGATCCTTCTATGAGATGAGATTCACAGGATACCTGTGAATACAATCCTCCCAGGGACCATTTCGAGATGGTTTTACATTCTGAAGTGCCTCCCACACTGCACTATTACATTTGAACCCACTCCCGAAAGCAATCTGCCAGACACGGTGACCCCTCCGCATCCTTCCCTTTGCCTCAATGTAAGCCAATTCGTACCAAATGGAGCTCGATGAAGTGTTCCCAAATCGATGGAGAGTCATCCTTGAAGCCTCCACGTGACCTGGTAGCAGCTGCAGATTCGTCTCCAGCTCATCAATCACAGCCCTTCCTCCGGCATGTATACAGAAATGATCAAATGCCAACTTAAAATTGGGAATGTAAGGCCTTATTTTCCTATTAAACAACGTTCTGAGTACCAATGTGGAAAAGAACAAAAGCTGCTCACTTAACGGTAGCACAAGAGGACCTAGCGTAGTGATATTAATCTTCAGAGCTCCACCAGCAATAGCCATTAGATCTCTTGACAAAGAAACCCCTGTATTCCCGGCATTATCCTGCTCCTGATACACACATCGGAATGCTGTATCATCCGCACCTTTATGTGTCCTCACCACATGAACAAGCTTGTATTTCGCCCTCCTTCTATCCGATGACTTATTAGACAACAAAACTGCCGAGCCTCCAACTCTAAACAAACAATTGGGTATCAACATTGACTTCTTGTTCCCAAAATACCAGTTCTGTGTAATATTCTCAGTACTTACCACAACTGCATAAGTATTCCTATGCACCTGCAACAAGTCCTTGGCCAAATCAACAGCAATCACTCCTGCACTACAGCCCATCCCTCCCAAATTAAAACTCAAAATGTTCCCTCTCAACTTGTACTTATTCACGATCATGGCCGAAAGTGATGGCGTTGGATTAAATAAACTACAATTCACCACAAGAATTCCTATATCCTTCGGCTTAATATTGGTATTTGCAAACAAATTATCCAACGCCCCGAACATGACCTGCTGAGCCTCCTCCCTAGCAGCCTGCATTGATGGCCGGGGAGGAATGGAATGCATGGCCTCAGGGACATAAGTCTCGTCTCCAAGACCCGAACGCTCAAGAATTCTCCTTTGAAATTCAAGTGCCGAATCGTCAAAATCCCCGGTGAGCTGGGAATGCTCCATGAACAGATGAAATGGTGCTTGCAGATTATCAGGAGGCCGATAACAAGAATAATCAACCAAATAAACAGGTCTAGGCCGAGTCATAATATACAGAGTGGATCCAAATACAAGAAATGCAGAACATATAATAACAGAAACAAGATTGTATTGCAAATGAAGCCACAACTGTCGGATATCATCAGGGTTCTTTTGGGATGACTCGATAATAATAATTAACATTATGGGCACTAAGCAAAAAGTAAACAAATTAGAGACCAAATAATGATAGCCCAGTTTAACATACTTTAAGTTGACACTCTGGAGGAAATCCGGGAGCCTGCGAGGGCCGTTCCTGATCTGTACCCCGAAACCACGACCGTTTCTGCCACCGTCGCCGCCTCCGTCCATGCTGGTTTCTTGAATTCAATAATCAATCCTACTCAGAAACACAAAAACGTGTTCCAATACAGAAAATTGTGTAAACTTCAAGAGAAATGGAAGAAATGGGATTGTAAGAAAGAAAAGAGAGATTTCTGGATAGTCAAATTGATAATAATTGACTTTTCTAGGTTTGAATGCGGAGTGTGTGATTTTCGTTAAAATTATTCTCTTCTTTAAAAGAAGATACAGTAAATTGAGTCATCGTCATAAAAGTTGCGTAGAGGTTCATATTTGTTACTCTTATAATATAAAAATGTTTATTTAATGATTGAGACGGAGTGGTAGGGTTGTTTCAACTTTTTATCTCTATCCATTAAATAATTCAATTTATTAATAACATTATTTCACTTTTCAAAAATTATATGACGTGATATTTCAATTTTTAAATGACGCACAAAGCTTGTTTGGAAGAGATTTTAAGGCCCAGTTTGAAAGTGATTTTGAGAATTGATTTTTTGACTGTTAGAAGAAAAGTGGGGGCCACCAATGAGAAAAGAGTCAAAATTTACGACTGAAATAGTGAAATAACAGTCAAAAAATCAATTTTTTGATGTCAAAAATCACTCCCAAACACTTCCTAAATAACACACAAATTTTAATCTCAGTTAAATTTAAACAATCAATATTAACTATATCTTTCATGTGTCCTACAACTTTTTAACCACACATTTCAATAATTCCTATTACAATATAATAAAAATTCTGATTTTAATCCCTATCAAACACACACACAATCCCTCAAGATTTATGAAAATTTCAAAAATACTTCATCAATTTTTAAAAATTATATATATATA